AGTTATGTGTACATATGGTATAATTTGAGAGTACGTATAGTTTTACATTTTGGGGCCAATTATGCAAATTGGTCCCTGAACTTTTCACAATGCCTTTTTATCATTTTCACTTGTGATTTCATCCCTTTTAGATTATAACTGCCTTCAATTGGTTTGTAGCATCTTCACTCTTCATTTATGTCTTGATGTGAGTATTGAAATGTTGCAATTTAGTTCCCATAATTTTTAATTTCCTCATTCTTCTCTATTTTTATCTTTTTTCTTCAATTCTTCATCAAATCATGAGTTTTACCTAACAAACACAAATAGGCTATATTTCATCAAAAGAATTATCATTATTTAAAGCTCACATAAGTGTATAAAATACACTTATCAAACCTTCAAACTTGAACATTTGTTTATCATCAAACAAAACCATAACCTAATATAATATAAAATAAACAAGCAAATATGCAAAAATATTTAGTTAGCTAACTCGGCCTTTTATCTCAGAATTGAAATCGTGACATTAATTCTAAGCACGGCTTTAAGATCATAATATAGAAATCAAAGTCTACATTTTCAATACAAAGTCGACATGTGTGTGTGATGAATTCATGAATTGTTCCATTCCTAGCCCTTAATTGTCAAATATGTTCTTATCTTCACTCGTGAGAATCATACACCTCCAAACTTGTTATTTTCACTCTTTTCAAGTATGTGATCTAATGTTGAATTTTATATTATTCCCACCTCTCTAATTTAGGTAAAACTCACCAATTGCAGTTCAACATGTCAATAAACAAGAATTCTCCTTTAATTTTGATTACTTCAATCTCTAATACTTAACTACACTAACGATCCCTTACCAAAAGTCCAATTTCTCTAATTAAGTGTTTGAGATATAACCAATGCATTTGGTGCGTCTTCTATTTCATGAACATAGTTCTTTCTTATTTCTTTTATTTTTTTCTTCAATTTTCTTCTTTCCAACGCTTTTTCCCCTTATTTGTAGCACTCTCTCGTAAGCTTTTCTAAATGACCTATGTAACAAGTTTTAGGCCGATAACTTCCAAATCACTCGACTTTAGGTCAATAGATTTTAATACCGTAAAATAATTTTATGCCTTAACTAGTACAATATCCCTCATTAAACACTTATCCAAGTAAATCGACATCTAACTTGAGACTTTTGCCCAATTTTATCCTATTTACCTTAGATAATTCATACAAGATTTTTATTTGCATACATGGAATCTCCATTTATCTCAAAATCTTTCTACAACAGTGAAATCCCCCAACTATTCTAAACTTGGTCTAAAGATGTAAAATATGGGTTTAACATTTATGTTCCACTATTTCGACCTATCCAATTATGAAATCAACTCATTCTTACACAATGCTTAACTTGATTCACGTACTCAATATATATCAAACTTCACATGAAAAAGTAAAAATTAACATAAGTATGCAACTTATTCACCATTCATGAGTCAACTCATAATTCAATATATTCCTCATTGTCAGCTAGGCCAACTAACTCATGCAAACACACAATAAAGAAAATATTTTTGGAGTTTTTTTAAATGTTTCAAAAAAATCTATATTCTAATACCTAAAGCAGTATAACACACGCAAAGAACTCGTGTTTTCCATCCCCAATCTTAAACTAGATATTGTCCTCAACGTCTTAAATCATTAGTCTGCATCAAAAGGATGGAGAAGAAAATGAAGAAAATATTCCCTCGATATGGCGTAAAATCCAATGGCAAACTTGACCTATTGCTCATGTTGTCTTCATGGTTAGAGCTGGTTTAAGTGTTCCGCGATATCAAGTTCCCACATAATACAGTTAGATAAAACATTAAAAATCCAATACTTGGAACAAGTATTACTTAGCTCAAACATCTAATAAACCAACTAAATCCTAAGGACCTAAAGGTAAATGGAAAATGAATGATGAGTTCCTAATAATTAAATAGCAACTAGCATAATAAATAAAAGTGATAGAAATATTGGGTTTTCTCCCAACAAACGCGTGTTTAAAGTCTTTAGCTTGACTCATTTGTTTCAAGGCTATTCATGGTGGCTTGAAAAGGAATTACACCACTTTTTTGTTCATCCTTAAGCCTCCATACCACTAGTTTTCCATTGTTGGTCCTACAAACAATTCCACCTTCATCTGGCCTACCATTGTAGCTTTCCTAATGGTTCACTCTTTGGAAATCCTCAAAGTAGGAAGGCTGCTTGAGTGGAGTTTCCGTAGTGAAGCTCTCTACTTATGCTCCACCCTAAGGACTATCTCATTGGAGTCAAAATCTAATAAGGCCCGACTTGTTGATAGAAATGGCCTCTCAGGATAATTGGCATATGATATGCCTCTTCTATGTCTAGGATGATGAAGTCAATTGGAAAAAAGAACTCCCCAACTTTGATAAGTATGTCTTCGACTATTCTGTATTGGTGTTTCAATGATCTATTTGCCAGCTGAAGGATGATAGAAGCCATCTTGTGATCTCTCAATCCCAATTTCCTATAAAGAGGTAGATGAATTAAATTAATACTCTTTGTTAAATCAATTAAACTATTAATACCTTATAAATTTTCTATGGAGCAAGGTAGAGTGAAAACTCTTTAGTCTTTCAGTTTGGTTGGAATCCCACACCGAATGATTATGCTACACTCTTCAGATAATGCTGCTTTTCTCATGCTCATGTAGCTTTCTCTTCTTAGTCGACATCTCCTTAAAAAATGAGTAGTTTGAGATTGAAGGATTGCACTATAAAAGAGATGTCAACATGCAGTTTCTTTAAAACGTCCAAGAACTTAATGAACTGCTTCTCCAGCTTGATATTTTGCTGCCTTTGAGGAAAATGGACTAAAGATGTGAGTGGAGTGCCACGAACTGTTGCCTTAAGCTGTGGGCTGTCTTAGACTAATTGTTGATCTATCTCTATTACTTCTTCACGATTTTTGAGGGAATGGAATGGGTGACACATAAATCTTGACAGGGGTGGCGGGAGTGAATGATAGGAACTCAATAATTTCATAATTCACCATCTCAAATGGTAATACTTGCTTCGTGGGTTCTATCTGTGGTCTATTGGCCAATGCAGCTGTGATCTGCCCTACCTAATTTTCTAAGTTCTGTATAGAGGCCTACTGGTTTTTCATTGCAATCTCAGTCTTGGTGATATACATAACAAGTAGATCCTCTGAAGATACCCTTTTCTCTTGTTGTTGCATACCACTGATGGATTGTCTTCATTTGATATCTTTGATCCGAATTATTCACCCATGAGAAGTTGGGGTGCTTCTTCAAACCCAGATGGTAGTTGTTGGGGTAGGGTCCATTTTATTGTCTTTGGTAATTCTATGCATAACAGACCTTTGCAAGTTGACCCATGTGAGTAAACGCTAAGGGACAACTGATAGTGAAATGATCTTTCCCACAACCTACGCAAACCGATGTTGGTTGATATACCATTTTCAAAGAATGAGTTAGGTTTTCAAGTTTCTTTGTTATTTCTTTCATCTGTACAACTCGTGAGCAATATAAACGTCCATCATCATTACTAATCCATCCGTTGAAGCATTTATCATGTTCTTGAATTCTTGGCGTATTCCATAGTAAAAGAGGTACACTTGCGCTTGCTTAAGAATTTCAAGATTAGGACATTTCCTGAATAAGTTCTTATACCTTCTCATGCATTTGGATAACTCTTGAGCTCTTTCTACTTGAATATGTAGATTTCATTTTGAAATTGATGGACTCGAAATGTTGGGAAGAATTTGATCGTGAACTTTTGTACAAAGTCATTTGATAAGTGTGTTTCACTCATCATATTAATGCTACTTAATCTTGTATTTCATTTGATTCTTAATCTTGTATTTCATTTGATTCTTAGAGTTTTAAAATATTTTGATTTGTGTTTTTGTGTTGTTTTATAGGTTAGATGAATTGGGGTGAATGATGCAAAACTTGGAGAAAAAAGTAATTTTGGTATGATTTAAGGAGAAATTGATGTTGATTTGGTGAAACTTGATGATTGGAGGCCAACTGAAAGAAAAATTGAATAAAGAAGAAAAATTGTAAAATCCAAAGTTTGAGGACTCTATGAACACTTTTCAATAATTGATTTAGACTACGAAATAATAATTGAAGATTCGTAGGAGTCGTCGGATGCAATTAAAAGTCAAAAATTAGCTAAATATGATCAAAATATTTTCACAAATTAATTTTCAACCGCTCAGGTCGTCTCGAATTTTTAGTTGAAGATTGAGATCCATTGTTGACATAGTAGACACTCGAATTGGAAAGAGTTATCTAAAATAAAGTTGTAGCCCTTTAAGTTCTATTTTCAACTCATTTTGAATCACTTCAATTAGATATCAAGAAAAAAGTTATGATAAAAATACTGAAAAATACACAATGCTGATTTTCCACTCGAAAGTGAGCATGGTAGCGCCATTGTTGCTAAATTTAAATAGTAACGTGGCGTCGCAACCCTTCCAAGGTTTCAAGATACTATAAATACAAACCTAAAGATGACTTTTGAAGGAGACAATATTCAAGAAATCAAGGCAGCAAACGCAACTTGGCAAAAAAATTGATTAAACCATCCAAAAAATAGTTTTATATTTCTTCTCTTCAAGTTATTCTTTATGAATTTTATAGATTTCATGCCTCATATCATGAACTAAATAATTTATCTAGAATCTGATTCGCCAAAATTTGAGGATATGATTTGATTTTGTTTTAATTATTCCTATGAAATTTTCCAATTCTATTTATTTGTGTTGTTAACTTAATGCTTTCAATTAATTTTTCACTAATTGAATGGTTAGATGCTAGTCAATTTTGACACTCGAAAGAAAGGAATTTATCGCGATTACAACAATAACACAACCTAGATTTTATGGATTTCGAGATAAACTGTGGAATTTATGAAGCTTATTCCAAAACTTGAACATTATATATATATATATATATATATATATATAACAAGTTATGCAAAGACTACAAATTCGATCAACAATCCAACGATAACATAATCTTATTGAAGTATAACTATCCTGCGAATCCAAAAGGAATTAAAAAAACCCGGTAAATATTGCATAAAATTATATAGTGGTACAACATGACTGCAGAAATTCTCTGTGATGAGCCAAACTCGAAAGGAAAAGCTCACATGACTATAGCTTCATAGCCTTCCTCTTTTCTGATCCTATATTGGAATGCAGAAATAACAACCAGAATGATTGCAACTCCAAACAGCGCAACACCCCAAACAGATAACCGTATCATCCTTGCCTGATGTACCTACAAAAGATGAGCAGCACATTTATGAAACTCGAAAATCCAAGTACGATCATGAAGAGTAGGCAAGACGATTTCCCATCCCACCTTCTTTCTCTTGAAATAATAGATTATCTGACCAAAATTACAAGGGCTATCCTAGGAATCCCATCCAATTTATCCCTAGACTAATGAATAATCTTTTGTAATTTTAGCATATTTTTACGGGTCAAGAACTTACTCACAAACAACCACGGATGCAGCATTGCTTCACAAGTAATTTTATTTAAAATATAGAAGTATATCTTACTGACTCGTTATGCTTAAAATTATAGTCCATGACTCACGCTTCACAATTAATTTTATTGAGTAGCATATAAAAGTATATCTTACTGACTCGTTACGCTTAATATATAGCCCATGACTCACTAATATCCGTTGGTAAAATAGGATCTAATTAATGATATTTGTTATCAACAGGATAACTTTGAACATATATCTACCATGATCCTATGAACAAGAGCTTTCTAATCATAGACTGGAGAAAGAGAAAATATTGAAAGTCGAGACTTAATATCTATGCATCATCGCCCCATAACTCAAATTTCTGGCTCCCCATTAGGTTGATGTAGTTATCACTCACTTACCATCGAAAGATCATTTTTCAGCACCCCAAAAAGAATGAACCCGAATCCTCATTTGAAAGACTGCTAAAGCTGATACCTAAATACTATGTTGAATCAACTAATTTAAAAGCTTAAATTGTTAGAAAGCTAACAAAGTTATCTATTAATTATGTTTGGAACGCACTCCTCCAAGTGCAGACTAAATTCATGTTTTCATCAATGGCCTGAATAAGCACAATTTTCATAAATGTGTGTGGTGAAACTTGAGTTCATGACGTCAGTTTGCTTTGATACTATATTGAACCACCCTATCTAAATTTCAAGTTGTTAGAGAGGGGACAAACTTATTTATTTGAATTATCTACATAAATGATGTTGCTTTAAGAACTTCTTCCTTACCGTAGTATCATCCATTCAAGGACTCAAAAGATTTACAACTGTATGGATGCAACACCATGTTAGACTTCTTTGAACACATCGTTCTTTAGTGTAGATTATAATATGCATCACAGCTTTGATCACTTAGCATCATATTAAGGGGAAATATATGTGCAGAGAATAAGGATCTTACTTCTGCTGGAGCATGCACTACTGTGTTTGGTTGTGATGAGCCTGCGACCAAGATGTAGAAGAGCCCCATGACTCCTGTATGTCTCTGTGCATTGCTATAGTTGGATACAAGAGTTAGCGTCTCACCAGAAGATATCTTGACGGAGCCAGGTCGAGGGTAACATGTAGACATTCCCACAATGTAACCTGCCTCATTTCCAGGCTCGTTTCCTTCTCCATACATTGGATTCGACGAGCATATCACCCTTCCGTCCTAGAATATTTCATCAGACAAAACTCATTGAAAACCCCTGTCAAATGCATTAATAATTTCATAATTTCATATGGACTTAAGCCGGTCTTTTATAGTTGACTAAGTGGCCCTCAGATCCCCACACTTCCTTCCTCCCCTTCCTCGGGCGTTAAGCCTGGGAACAATAGGTCTTGCAGAAATTCCTCGAAAAGGGAAAGGGGAGGGGAAGCAGGTGAACGGAGTGAGCCGTTTCAACCAAAAAATTGCCTAATCAGTTTATCCCAGGTTATCGGGAAGGAATGCCAACAATACAATGAATAGTACGTGTGGAACAGCACTCAAGTTAGTTCAAGATTCTCCTAGCTATTGCTTTTTCCATACGGTAAAGTTGATGCATTGTTATTGCCCATAGTTAACGTCATTAGGTGTCCCTGAACACAATTAACTAACTGGAGAAATTGTAAAGTTTCTATTGACAAAGAAAATATACAACTATATTACACTGCTATCTAAATTGAAAGTTGTATCTAGCGCAGGAACCATCTATAAAATTGCTTGTACAAACTTTGATTTTTACGAGTAATTGTCTATAATATATCTTTATCCAGGATGAAACTAGAAGAATCAATTTTGAAGAAAGTATTTAGCAATAAAACCTTCTCCACAAAATCGTGCATAGCATTAAAACATCATGATTGCATCTTTTTCCCTTAAGGCAACTACAGGAGCCGGTTAGATGTGTACCAAACAAACACTTAAAAAACAAATGGAACAGTTTTATTAATTATCTGTACATATGGTTTTTTATTGTAAATACCTTCAGGTAAATATAAAAAAGGTGTGATATTTTTTAAAGTGAGCAATATCAGTTTGTCCAGGATATGAAAAGTAGCAGTGTATTGGTGATAAACTCATTATGAATATATGACGGACTTCATAAAGATAAGTAAATGGATACTTTGAACAATTCAATAAAAAATGACAAGAAAGTGAAAAAGTTTCAATTGTATCTTAGATAATGACTAGCAATGGCTCATGGCAGTTAACATTCCACAAAAGTTTGCTGATTTATCATTCATACAAATACACATTGGTTATGAGTAAAACTTCCCTTCCCAAAAGTTCCTACAAAGAGCAGTTCTTACGGTACATGGACTCTTCTGGTCATTCCAGTGTTCCTTGTGGTACATTTTAATAGTGTCATCATGGCCGAGGGTTATTTGACTTTTTGTTTCACCAAAGCTCTTACTTCAATCTATAATATTGGAAGACAAACGCTGGCGTGAAAATGATACCCCTATGTTTCTCCTGGAAACTTGTAAGATTCTTAAAATCTGAAAGAAATGTTTTCTTGGGTGAAATTGAATCTCTATACATAGCGTATAATTTTTTTATTTTTGTATTTGTGAGACAAGTGCAGCTTAGGAGTGAAAATTTGCTCTGTAGCCTCAATCCAGACATTCACACTTTAACTCTTTTGGCTAGCCAATGCAATTGGTATACCTGTGCGTGTCAATGCGCATACCCACACCCAGAATAGATGTACATGAAACCTTAAGTATATCAGCAAACACATCTCTGTAACTACTCAGACATCATGTGAGCAAGGTCTAATTTTGAGAGTATATTAGATGAAGAAAGTATGATTCCAAAAGTTTTAAGCATACCATTATTTGAGAAACCTATCAAGATTGCCATTGACGAAAGGTAAATAATTTAATATATGATTAGAGAAGATATATGATTGTCTGGCCAAAAATATATAAATAAAATAAAATAAAATAAAGTAAGCCCCTATTTGTTTCCCATTCTTTTCCCATTAAAATAAAAAATATGAACGTTATCCATCATATCGAACCACCATATTTGAATTTCTATATCTTGTGTGGAGCTCGTAACGGTTATATTTTTCATTCTCATTTTCCCATAAATGGGAAACAAACGGGGCCTAAATAAAAAATAATCACAAAAATTTACCTCCCCATAAAGAGCTGAACCAATCCCACCAGCATGCTGGTGTGCAACACCATAGATGACATCGCCACCAATCGGCAAGCTTACATGTAGACTTTTGGTATGAGTACAATAATCATTACCCGCATCAACAGCACAAGATGGAACTTCATACTCGATCTATATCATAAAAGTTCAACTGAGTATTGACTCAAATGAAGAAACAGAAATAGTGATCAAAGATATTAGGAACAGATATATGGCTTTTTGAATGCAATTTTCATCACAATTAAAAATTTCCCGTGTTTACGATTCCAATAAACCATCCCAAGCGAAAAATGCTGATAGATTACTATTTGTTGGCTAAGGTAGTGGAGGGTAATATGGGGATTTAGTAGAATTATTGTATAGATTTCTCATTATAAATAGGGAAGGGTAGTTTTATTTCACTTAGGCAAAAAATTGTGTATTGATGGGAAGAGAAAGAACCTCCCGAATGCTCAAAATCTATTGTAATTCCTTTCAATTTCTATCTGTTTTATATTCAATATATACACAAAAATACATTACACATCAGATACCTATCAAATGCATGTTGAACTATTTTTAGGTTATAAATTTACTATAAAACAGTATCAACAATTTTAAACAAAACTCTAGTCACCACGTTCTGCATTTCCTTTAACCCTCTAGCACCTGCTGGGTCGATAATACTAATCAAAGAAAATGTTGTTTCAACTACATAATCTATAATTAAACAATTATTTGACAGTTGAAATATTCAAACCAATAGATAAAAGCTTATCATAAATATTGGCCTCAGTGATTCTAAGTTCTCTTGAACATTCATTTTTCAAACCATATATTTTTAATAAAAAATAAAATAACAAAAGGACTAGGTTATAGTACCTGGCATCTATGTCTAGACTTTATACCTCTGGATTCATCTGCCATTGTCCAAATATCAGTGACATCAAGGATATAGATTTTAACAGGCACAATGGAGGTATACCAATCAACATACTTGACAGTGTACTTCAAGTGGAGGCTTCTCTTCACACCCAGAAACCCTTGTCTCACCCGACATCTCGTCTCATCATAACAACATCTCAAGCCACCATTATAATCAGGTGGCAAAGGTTGGTCATAGTCATCTACTGTGACATTATATAAATCACACCGGCATTCAGTGCATCCCATCCTATCTTCCACACCCCGAGAATCAATTGCATGCACATTGAGCATCCATCTCTCCTCAAAACCAGAAGGGATATCTTCTAGATTTCCAACCTCAATTCCATAAGGATCTGGCACATATGTGGATGTTCTTCGAGTCTCAGATCCGAGGCCGAAATATTGTATAAGGCCATAGTCACATACTCCACTATTCTTTACAACAACAAAATCAGGCCCATCGAGCCCCAGATCGCCATGGTACTTTGCAACATCAGAACCATTATGTTTACGTTGATAATACCTTACAAAAAGCCAATGGTGGAGATATGTTTCGTGGAGGGGAATGGAATTCCCTGCCTCATCAATTACTTCAGCGTCAAAACTCTTAAGACCAATATGACCTCGAGGGAAATCGATATTGTAAAAGTATTTATCAGAAACCGACCCTGGCTCCATCAAAAATTTAGGTGATAAAAAGACAGCAGTTTTTACCCCATTTTCATTCCTTAAATAAGCTTGTGAACTTTGAACTATAGTTATAAATACAAGAATTGCCATGGAATGCAACAGGCACTTTGAGCAATAAGCCATTTCCCCTCACTTAGTGCTAGATTATCTGGTGAAAGCAAATTCAAATCATATATCAGTAGTCATATTTGACATAAAAACAATGACTTATCCGATTACACCTACTCCAACTACATTCTACACTGTATTGTGACATGTTTTAGACAGACTCGACCTTATTATAGTAGAAAAAGTAGTTGAAACTGCTGAATATAATTAGCATACCATACATGACTTTAATATTCTAAAGGCAATAGGAACAACATATTCAAATGACGAATGGCAGGGGGAGGTGGGCCAGTGGGGTATATGGCCTTTTTTTTTTTTCACCTTTTATTTTAATACTAATACATATTGTGTTTGGTTTGGCAACATTAACACCAAAATTGAGCTTGTCCCAATAAATTTGGATTCAAGTCAACTAACTGAATGTTTTTCATCGACCCGGCGACAAAACCAAATATTCCAAAAATACACAAAATTTCCTGTTTATTTAATTTATCTATCAATTTATGTTTCAGTAAAACCATGTTACAGAACGCAAAAGTTGATCACATACACTGATACACAATCAGTACCATTTTCGAGCTCATACAGAGTGTTTCGAGATAAACACAATCGTCACCACATATTCGTATTGATATTTCCATTTTTTCCCATCCCTTCTCCAAGAATTTGTGGAGTTATCTAATAATCTAATAAACTGATATAGAAAAATTTACGGAAAAAAATGCAAACGAAAGATGAAAATGAAACGTTTACCCTTATACAGTTCAAATAATCCCCAGAGGAAGATGAGCGTGTGATTATTCTTCGAAACTTTGCGGGAGATGAACGTACGAAATTACTGCACAAGCTTAGTTTGAATTTGAGAAAAACTATGAGCGTGTTAATGGAAATGTTCTAAGATGGGTACGTCTAAGAGCTTGACACGTGTGAATTTTAGTCCACGAAAATTGATAATCTGTGTACCCGTTTCACATTGCCACATTGCTTTAGAAAAGTGTTAAAAAATAAAAAATTGAGACTTAAAAAGAGTTTTTTTTTTTTCTTGGGATACATTTGATTAATTTAATGAAAGTATTTTCCTAATTAGAAGAATTTTTATAAAAAAAAAAAAAAAGGGTTTAATATGACTTTTTTTTATAAACAATGTCGAAATAGAAAGCTTTTTTAAAAAATTAGGGTGTGGTTGATTTCCATTTTTATTTTCAAAACGATTTTTAGTTTTCCTCAAAAACGACCAATTTTCCTCGTTTTGAGTGTTTTCGACATTTATAATTGAAAATGCTAAAAATGATAAAAAATTGTTTGGCTTTTTCACTTATAAATTTTAATTCGTTTTCGAAAATGACGGACCAAATACATTTTCCGCGTTTTCGAAAACGAAAAATGGCCAGAAAACGGCAAACCAACCACGACCTTAGTTTTCAAACTTTTCCACAAAAAGCAAAAAATAAAAACCATGTCAAACAAGTCCTTAGTCACACCCTTATTTTTAAACTCACAATTTCTTTAAAAAATGTAAAACAAATATATTTCTCATGATTTTTTATTTTATTTTTCACTCTTTAACATCCTTTAAAAAATTAATTTTTTGAAAAATCACTTTGTAAATATTCGTTTTCACAGAAGTATCAAACTTTGACTATTTTTTTTTTTTTTTAAATAATCAATGTACTTTTAATTTTATTTTTCACTCATCACGACGTCTCATTTTATTTCAAAATTAATAATTTGGACGGTGTGTCAAATGAAGTCATTATTTTTAAAATTATTTGGAGTGACGATTAAGAGTGTTTGAGACAATTGAGATAAAACTTTAAAAATTAGAGGAGTTATTTGAAGAAAAACAAATACAATTTGAGATTTTATTTACCTTCTAAATTCATTTAAAAATTAATTATTGAAGCATTGAGAGCATAGTTAATTACAAGTTGAAGTTTATTAGAAAATTGATACATGAATTGTTTTCTAAACTAGTGATGATATATTAAAATACGTAACTTTAATAGTTTGTAGAAATTAAAATTGAATATTTATGAATATGTTACATATTCGCTTTCTTAATTCTATAAAATCTTGTTTCGTTTGTAGTCAAGAGAATGAACAGCGTTAAATATTAATGGAAAGTATTTATTTTGTAATCTTTCTTCAAAGTATTGAAAAAGGATGCTTCACATACAAGGCAGAGGCTCGTACGAGCCTCTGCCAGGATAGACACAAGAGGCGGGGTTTGGGCGATTTTTATTTATTTTTTTAATGCAGGTCGAATCCATGACCTGTCCTCGTAAAGGGCTTATAAGATCTCTGTATGAATAGTGCTATATACTCAGGGCATTATTCAATATTGAATTTGAGAAGACGTCAGATGACATGATGATGACAACGCTTCAACACATGAATTAAATTTGACGTGAATTTGATACTTTGTTAATTTTATCATAATCAAAATACTCAAAGCTTGAAAAATCTATTTACTTATGTTCATACTCAATTATTAAAATGCTAACTCAAGTTCGCATTATTTTAAGATGAAAAATAATTTAAAAATTGGGTTAGTGGATGGAGGACTGATAGGAATCAAGAGCTAGTCTTGTTTGGTAGGAATTCAAAAAAAGGATTAATAGCACAAAACGTTCCTACGTTTGATATTTATTACGAAAAAGTCCCTACATTTCCTTTTTTTTTTTTTTTTTTTTGCATTTTCGTCCTTATTTCAACGTTTCATTGGAGAAAAAATCATTTTCACCATTTTTTAATGTAAAATAATCAAAATACCCTTCCATTTAAATAAAAGAAAAAATAAAGAATAAAAAAAAAAAAAAATGAAAACGTATGGACGTTTTCCACAAGAAGTGTCAAAGGTAAGAACGTTTTCCGCAAGAAATGTCAAACATAGGGATGTTTTGTGCCACTAGGCCTCATTAAAATTGAAACAGTTGTCAAACCGTTGAACCTCTATACCATTTCCAAAATGACATCGCCCAAACTCCAGTGGCACCACCTATTCCAAAGGGATCCATGTCATTTCCAACACACCAATTGATTACACTCACTAGGGCGCTTCTCTTCATGATCTCTTCTTCTCCAAATGGGGCTGTCACCTTAGAAATAAAAAAAACTCTTACCAATCATCGCCCAAACTGCCAAACATCCATACCCCTGAGCCATCTGTTGATATTTTAAAACCATGGAGAGAAGCATCCTAGCGAGTATAGTCGATTGGTGTGTTGGAAATGACATAAATCTCTTTGGAACAGATAGTGCCGCAGGAGTTTGGATGATGGTATTTTGGAAATAGTATGGAGGTTCGGCAGTTTGGCAATGGTTTCAATTTTTATAAGGTCTAATAGTACAAAACATCTCTATATTTGACACTTCTTGTGAAAAACGTCCCTAGGTTTGACATTAATTGCGAAAAACGTCCATACGTTTCAATTTTTTTTTTTTTTTTTTTTTTTTTTTTTTTTCCCTTTTTTTATNCCAATATTTTTTATTTTTTTTTTTTTTTTTTTTTTGCATTTTCATCCCTATTATCACGTTTCATTGCGAAAAACGTCATTTTTATAAATTTGAAATGTATGAACGTTTTGCACAGGCCAAACGTAAGGACATTTTGTGCTATTAGGCCTTTTAATAATTATTTGGACTCACTTGCATTTTTTAAAATATTTAGGAGTAAGATTGTAATTTATTCTTTATTTTTCTTTTTTTATTTAAATAGGAGAGTATTTTGATCATTTTACATTCAAAAATGTTGAAAATGACATTTTCTACAATGAAACATTGAAATAGGAACGAAAATGCAAAAAAATGAAACGTAATGACGTTTTCCGCAATAAGTGTCAAACGTAGGAACGTTTTGTACTATTAACCCATTCAAAAATCTATATTTTATTTTCAGTTGAAATCAAAAATAATATTTAATCACATAGATCTTGGGATCCAAAAAATTTCAATTATAAATTTTATTAATTCAAAGTCTATTAAAATTTTGATTTTGACATCTCAAACTGGACTTAGAATAATTTTATGAAGAAAATGTGAAAATGATAGATACTGAAAGAAATATGATGGAAATTTCTAGTACATCCATGTGGATGAGAAAAGGCCTTGGGATTGACGACAATAAATGAAGCAACCACATAATTTGACTTTTGCTTATATTGGACGGGAAAAAGACTTCTTCCTTTTGTCTTTCGTCAAAAGTATATCTTTTTTGCAGTAAATCACATCATCCCTCTAGAGTTTATGATGAAGTAATTTTGAAGTTTAATTATCAATATGTTTAAAAAAAAAAAAAATGCATCTTAACCTATTTATTTAAAGATATTGACATAAACTTCATTTAATCATTTTCATTTTTAGGGTAACATAGTAGCGTTATGACTTTATGTAGAAGATCAATGACAATTATTTGTCAACTAAGTAATTTTTACCAATTTGAAGGATGAAAGGTAATAGAATGTAACAAAATAGTGAAATTTGAACCTAAATCAAAGTTTAGTAATCCAATTAGAATTTCGTTGAAAATTTAAGGGAATATTACTGTTGTGGTTCAATTTGTGCTAGTCAATATCCCTAACCTTTCAGAAATATGCATCTGAAGTCCAAATGGACGGAAAACATCCATTTGATCGTTAGTTAACCAATAAAATTGACTTTTGACCAAATTGAAAAGGGTAAAATGACAAGTTTTGCAATTACCACATTAAAAAAAAAATTAGAGATAAATAAAAAACCATAGGAATAAGAAAAGAAATAAAAACCGTTTGTTTCCTTTTACCCCACACCACCCCGAAAACCTAACCTAAAGAGCCACCATCACCACCGCGACCGCCACAACGTACCCAAAATAAAATTGGGATTATTCTCCCCTAATAATTGAAAATGAGGTAGATTTGCGCTGCATCTATAATTGCACATATCAGAAAATATTTAACTGCATAACACATTGAGCTTCCTCATCTGCACAAAATTAATTCATATGCAAACACAATTTACAGTCAGATTTGTGATTTATGGGGTTTAATTTTGGGTTCTACAAAATGATGGATTTGATTTTTGGTGCAAAAACTTCTGGGTGGTTGACTGTTTGATTGTGTGAAAAATTCTTGCGGTTTGATTTCCATAACTGTGCTTGTGCTTGTGTTTTATGTTTGATTGTGTTTTTCCGGACACCCATATTCCAGGACCATACAAGCCTGTTACATGAAATGCACCAGCCAAGTGCGGAGCGGATAACTGCTGAAAGCATCTAAGTAGTAAGTCCACCCCAAGATGAGTGCTCCCCGCTAAGCATCCATGGCTGAATGGTTAAAGCTCCCAACTCATAATTGGCGAATTCGTAGGTTCAATTCCTACTGGATGCACGCCAACGTCCGCTGAATAGAAACATCAAACTAAAAGCCCATATAAAATGAGCACCTAGGAAAAAAAAGGCTACAGGAGAACCAGGAACGAAGAGCTTCCCTCCCTTTCCGCCCGACTCTTTAGTCTTAAGAACGCTAGTTTTAAGAATGAGTGATTGCCCTTCTCCGACCCTTACTGTCCAACTTGAGAACAGACAGCTAATGCGTTCCACTTATTGGATTTTGCTGTTTTTTCTTCTGCAGTACCTCGACGTGACATGAGCATGAAATCCCTTCTTTTTTCTTTTGATATCTCTGGGCCAATTAAAAAAAAATTTAGGCGCGAGACAACTCTCTCTAAAGAACTCGGCAAAATAGCCCTGTAACTTCGGGAACATAGACACACTCCTATGAACGTGGAAAATATACTGGATGGGTCGATTCGAATTGAAATTGTCAAGTCATTTTGGTTGTGATTCTACCAAAATTTCTGGGTAGTTTGGTGCCTGTGTTTTTCCGAATTAATTGTGCTTGTGTTTTTCGATAGAAACAG